TTTTTTTTCTTGCTTCGTTATTACCTTTTCCCTTTTGGACAAAAATCACAATTTGTTGTCTTTCCTCTCTCTCTTAATGATCATTGATTAAAGCTAAGTTTGCATGCGGACGATTGTAACTTTATCTAAATATATTTTTCTCATTTGCTATTCTTCTATCGATTTCGGAAGAGAAAAAAAAATGTGAATATATTTTCTCTTATCATTTTTACTATATCTTTATTTCGAAATACATATAGTCACACTCGACTGATTTGCTTTTCATCTGCATAGTGTCTTTCGTTGTCGTTCTTTGCATTCAAGCAAATAATTATTGACACAAAAAAAAATATCGAAACTAGTAATCATTCAATAATAAAATACAAAATTAAATTAGAACATATGAGCCATGACATTCTTTGAAATGTCTTTTTTAATTTTCTTAGATTTGTATGAAATGAGAATCGATAATGTTTATTGTGGTTTTTTTTGTTAAAATACGAACTTTCATTCGCATGCAAAAGAAAAAATAGTCAAATAAACTAATTGCTAATATAAATCACCGGACGATGTTTCTGAGTTTTAATGTTATAATTAATGTTCATAAAGTAAATCATAATGACCAGGCCGATAAAGCATTGTGATCATTGGTTTAAATGCACTTTTATTTTCATCATCTGTCGCTGAAAAATCATGTGTTGTTAATAAAGATTGTTCATTTCGATCCATATATATAACACGTAAAGGAACAGCTGCTGCTTTAGCTAAGGCAATTATATGAATATTATCTGATTCACGTGCCATTGGTTCAACTTCCTTTGATAGAAAATAAATAATTAAATTAGATCTGATCAAATAAAAATAAGTTTTCATACGGTATTACAAAATTGCTTTACAGTTTTTCCATCTTCAATAAAATTTTCAAAAAATGTAGAATTCATTTGAAGATAAGCCGATGTAAATAACCTATGAAGTAAAATTCAATATATAAATTTTGATCACAAATTATTATCTTGTTTTTTTTTCGAATTTTCGTAGTTCAAATGATCGAAATATATTTTCATATATTAGTATTTCGATTTTAACATATCAGTCAAGAGTATTTTTCATGTGTTAGAATCAAAATTTTGTGCTCTTTCAGAATATATGCTTACGAGGAAACCATTTCAAATGATAAAAGTTTCACAGCACAGTCCTTTTGGAAGCTGAAATGTGGAACTCATACATGTTCTTTAGCCTCATTATACTAATACAAAATACGTCAAGTGAAAAATCTCTCGTAGATTATAGCTGTTTTACAAGATAATCAATCACCAGAGTAAGGATCTATGTCATTTTCTATTTGTTGTTTGCACTACTATTATTAGAAGTATTGAATTAGATGACTAATAAGACTGTTATAAATATCCATTATATCTACAGCAGCAGGTCTCAACGCACTACTATCTACCTCGATCAATTCACGCTTTTTATGTTGATTATATAATAACTGTGGCAAATCAATGCATCACCACCTATCATCGTTGACATTTTGAATATACATTTTTATCTGTATAAAAGTCACAAACTGCACTATTTAAATCATTAACAAATACATTCCAACCATTCAAATTTTGATGAAGGTTTTAGAATATTCTAAGTTTAAAGCTTACACGCACTATTTTCTTCCAAAATATACGTGAGCTTCACAAAATCGTTTTTAAGTTCGGACTGTATGCATAAAGTAGACCTATCCTTCAGAGTTATAGCCATGTTAACATAGAGCCGAAACTCAAAAATGATTTATCACTTGGAATAGTTTTCTCATTAGAGTTTTTCTATGACTTTTTGAGAAATGTTACAAAATTTTGTCGAATATATTGAAAGATAGAGAAAATAATTCTCCATAAAGTGATAAATTTTTGCAAACTGTTGAGGTGCTATAAAAGCCTTTATAAAATCTATTTTTCCGATTTTCGCCTTTTCAACGTAAAATGACTCGTCGTCATAACTCTGCCATTATTTAGCGTATTAACCAAAACTCTCGATTCTTGCGTTATTTAGTAGAATAGAGATCACCATCAAATACAATGTATCTACAGAACTTATTTTATATGGCTATGTCATTTCCAGAAAATGTTTTGAGTCGTGTCAAGATTTACAACTCAACAGTCATAGAAAATTTCGACCTAATCCTTATATTCTTAATGACTTAAAAGTTTTGCAAAATTACCTTAACCATATTACCAATAAGTTGACGGTTGATACTTTCGAAATGTCTTTTATCAATATTCACTAATAAGAAAAAAAAAACGTACGACAATTGTCTATTGTTTCTATAGTTACGTATCTTCTCAAATGGTGAATCTGAAATTCAAGCAAAAGTTAATAGATTATTTTATAATCAAATTAGCTTTTAACCTACTACATCAGAGTCAACTAAATTTCTCACTAATAAATCAGATTTAACATAGGAAGTTTTTTGCATTGCAAGTTTTATTCTTTGGTATTCGCTGTACAAACTGATATATTTTCGAAACTCGATTTAATGTCTCTTCGAGACATACACTTATGAGACGACATGAATTGAGCCTCGAAAATACATCAGTTTGTACAATGAATATCAAAGAATAAAATTCCCCATTCAAAAAAAAAGCCTGTAGTGTTCAATCGAAATTACTTGTAGGTAATATAGAGAGCTTCGACTACTTTAAAAAAAAATGACTCCGACATAGGTTTCTAAACTCTGCACATCTTTAATAGCTAACAACAATACTCAAGATAAGTTTCATTTAATGTTTTGTCTGACTATCTGTCCTATCGAACTAAGATCTAATGATAAAAATAAAGAACTGGATATCAATGAGTATTTTTATATTGAGGCGATTTGTAAACGATACTACACTAAATGTAAAAGATTTCCATATTGAAAAAGAAAAAGACATAGAGTAATACTTTTACTTACGAGCTCCCTCCTCGAAAATCTAACTTCAACAGGACACACGAGATATCGATGTTACTTTGCATAGATGTTTTATTCATAAGAATTCATTAATAAAAAAATTTCATAGCTTCATACCTTACGGCTCAGGAGATTCATAGGAACTAAGCTGCAAATCTCGGGTTGCTTTCATTTGAAAGAGAACTCCTTATCATTTCGGATCATCGAATCTCGGCATGGTTTGTTAAAAAACTCAGGGTTTATCTAAGATTAACAACTAATTGGAAAATTCCTTTTCCTCATCTGAAGGACTATACATACATCTCTCTAACATTAAGTATATTGAGAAAAAAAAATTGTCTTCAGTTCGATCATTACCAAAAAAACAACAATTTTAAGAAATTGTTCTTTTATACAATCTTCCTATTTTTAGTTAGAATGGCGATGACGTATAAATATATTCCATGTCAATCGAATCCCTTGTATATATACATTAGATTCTTCTCGTACAAGATTCATCATAATAGATGATGCTGCCTACCGTTGTCAACAACATAAAAAATAACAAATTAATTTTTTAAGGAATTTCTCGGAAACTCAATTAAGTACTCGGATAGAAGATATAGTGTCTGTGTTGTCGCATGTGTTCATGCAATATCTTCCATATCTCCTGTGCTGTTACTTAATTAAGTTTTTTGGGATACCCGTAGTAGATATCATATAAGATTTTGTTTTATATAAAGCATCTACTTCGAGGGTGTACGTGAAGAGAAGATCCATGCTCACACCCTCATATCATTGGAAATCCCAAAAGTGTACCACTAAGATGCACAAGATTTGATTATTTCTGTAAAATATTCATCCAGTTTTCGCATATAACTATACAAAAAAAAAATTACTGTTTGCTCTAGATGTCATTATGTGTCCAGATAGTTTCAAAGATCATTCGTACACTAAGCAAGTGCAAGCAACATATTTATCTCAGAAAACATTTTTTGACGAAAAACAAATTTTCTGAGGAGAAACCTATAAAGCTTTCAATGGGATTTCTCACCGTAAATAAGCAACAAAATAATCCGAATATGCTGGTGAACAAAAATTTTCCATTAAACTTGTTTCATTTCCACCTTTGCCTACATTATCAATTACTTCGAGAACCTAAAAACAATCAAGTGAAGTTAAAAGTTACTTTTACTATTTTTTTTTCTAATGAAACATACCACATCACTAACATCTTCAACAGTAAAATCTAAATAACCTAATTGAACAAGTTTATTTTTTAAATCATTTGTTAATTGACGAAATCGCTCAAGTTCATTTCTATTATTTAAATTTTCTTCAAGATAACCAAAACCAAATGCACGATAGAAACAATTACCATCACCTCGTGTACGTCGTATATATTTATATTTTTTCATTAATTCCTTTTACATTTTTTTTTTAAATAAAACTTTATTTCTTTCTATGAAAATAAATTAACTTACAGATACTTTATCTTGATAAATTTTATCTTCTAATAAATATTCATTTTTTAATTCACTTGTTTTAATTTTAGGACTTATTAATGGTTGATGATCGGCAACCTAGAGAAAGAATTCAATTGAATAAAATTCATTGACATATATATATATATATATTTACTTCTTTTTCAATTTCATTTTGTTGTTCTTGTGTTTGTTGATCAAGGTCTATGTCTGAATAAACATAAAAGAAACCTTCTTTTTTATCGTTCTTTAAATCAACAAACTAACCAGTCGATGCATAATTATTATTATTTGAAGTTGTATTGTTACTAGTCGAAATACCTGTTAAGTCACTTCGAGTTGCCATTTGTGCAATGATAATGATAAGAGAGAATTTTTAAAACAGATGGTTGGATACTGAAAAGAGGATTGTGTTCATGTTATTGTAATGTTTTCAATGATTTTTTTATGACCAATTAGAATAAATAAAAATTCAGATGTCGCTGAAAATTATTCAAAATTATCAGATATTTGAAGCATGACTACAACATACTGTACAGTATTTTAATCAATATTCTCTAATGAAATGATTATTTGGGTTTTTCAAAGTAATTTTGTATGTATTAAAAACTAAGCGAGATATTTAGTACAACACCGCTAGTTTGATATTAATTGATAGAGTGAAAATCGAAATTATAGTTATTCGATAAACATTCATTTAAGAGAAGTATCTTGAATAATGTTTTGTTTTCCTTGTTCAAGGTAGGATATCTAAGGGAGAAACAATCGATTTCATAATTCTAAAATGATGCTGGCCACCGGAATAGGAGAAGGAAGTCACCGTTACGTTACTAATTAACAGGTAACGGGATAGCAAAGAATTCATAGATTTAATTCCTTCGTCAGGAAATAGCTACTAGGAGAAAGCTAAGATTTTTCTATCAAGTTTGTCCAAAAGTTTTCGTAGTCGAGGAATCCTAACCTGTAATCGGTTTCTCAGAACTATGTACTTGATTTCTCGGTCAAGTGTCCTAAAATAGTCTTTGTCACACTGAGAAATCAGGCATACATTTTCAATTAGCGAAATTTCACAAGTTCAGAAGTACACGAAAACATAATTTTGGAAAACAACAAGGAGCCTATGGAGAAAATGGCGGGAGGCGTTTCTGAAACATAAAATATCAAAAAAATAGTTATTAACATTGCTACAGAAGTCAATCCTTAGCATTATGGCCAAATCATTGAGAATTCATTTTCAAATTAACTTCAGTAGTTAAGAGGAGAAACATAAAAAGAAGAAAGAAACAAGAAAAATAGAAGGAAAGGTTGCGCTTCCCCTCGTATTTTAAATTAGGTTGCCATCACACACACAAGATCATATTATGCATCTTGTTTTTTTTTTAAAGATACACTACGAGAGAAAAAGTAGACAAGAAAAAATGTTAAAATTTCAATCATTTTCACGAATGAAGGAAGCGATTGACCTAGACATTGACAGGACGAGGAAAGAAAGCGAAACAAAGACTTTCATATAAACTCATATATCCGTAAACATACACACACACAAAAAGAATCTGAATATACCATGCTAGATTGCTTCCTAACAAGCATAAACCACAATTGCAAATGTCACAATCATGAGTGATAGCAGTGACACTTAGTCAATGACTGTGTTTCTAACAAAACGTATAATGGCTTAAGTAAGCAGTTATTCTCCGCAAAAGTTTATGAGTTGCTTTGACGACTCTCAACGAAAATAGCATCTTCCAATACTTAATCTATAATCCATATCTACAGGACTTTTATCTGACAGAAATGTTTTCGAAACTGGTACAACTTCTAAAAAAATGAATATATGGTCTCAGTATGGATCCAAAATTCCTATAGAACTACGTTTTCGCCCGCCAGGGACTGATCTTGATTGTCGACATGCATCAGTCTAGTACTACTCGATAGATCTCATCGAGTTGTATTTGGTACAAATGTTGGTCTAACTGGCACAACTCTTGAAATGAATACTAGACAGAAATACTAAGTTTTTCACTACATTACATAGAATCATCATACTAGATCTAGCATAAGTCTACTTTATGTAAACACCTTTGTTTTTGAGACTTTTGAGGATGAAGGTTGTTTATATAAACTAAACTTATTCCAAGTCAAATATGACAATCGACAGAGCGAACTTCTCTCTACTAAACTGCATATTTAGTTCTGGAACAAGCGTAGTTTATATAAACAATCTTCATCCTCAAAAGTCTCAAAAACAAAGGTGTTTACATAAAGTACACTTATGCCAAAAAAAATCTTTTTTCTCTTAATTTTTCTTACATTGAGATCTTATTCATTTAATATAGACACAAGCAAAATTCCATCATAATACTACATTCGAACGATACAAAGAACAAAGAAATAATCTTAACGATTGGAAGAGCAACATAAATCGTATGATAATTCTTTTATCATATTTCATTTCATAATTTCCGTTTGGGGAAATGTCAAGTGAAAACAAACAACAGATAAAACGAGTTAAAATCTACACATACTTATGTTTATTAAACATCAGACCAATTTATGTTGAATTATTCTTTTTTTTCTGCATCTTAATCGAGCGAGCCACAATAGATAAATGAAGAAGAAATTATTTAGTACATTTTCTTCCTTACCAAAAGGAAAAAGTCAACAATCATAATTGATTGGATTCTTTTTTTTTTGTTTTTTTGCCAACTACTTTTAATAGGCTAGTATTTATTTGAGCAATAACAATATTGGAATCAGCAATAATTAACATACGTTTTAGCAATAATTTGTGAGCAATAAAAAAAACTTTATTGAGCAATTTTATATTATTAAATGAACAATAATTAATTCACTAAATAGCAGTAATAATTTCATATTTTAGCGATAAATAAAAGAAAAACTGTATCATTTTTAGTTACAATCAAAAATATAGTATTTTATTGAGTCAATAAAACTTTTTTTGCCTGGGTGGTCTGCCTCTGTTTCTTATGTGTTTCTATAAATAAATGTGTTAACTCCGTAATATGATCTTGTGTATATGATGCTTACTTTCGAAAAATAAGATCCTCCCTGTCATCCCACACATGTAGGCCTGTATCTGAGATGACAGAATATATCAGGAATAGATATGATTCGAATAGAATATATCTGAATGATCACTTGAAAGAAAGAAATGAACAATCTAAGAGAAAGCAATATGGGAATATATCTGACAGTAGGGAGCTGCACCAGGTTTTCTGAACTCGACCAGAGGATTTTGGGCCATTTTATTTTTTGGAATACTGAACCGTGTTTCGAATATACATCTGTGGAGTAATGTTTCCACTTTCATACAATGTGATTATAACTGTACAAAAGACATTCAGAGCCGAAGGATTTTAAATAAAAAGGTTGGAGTTCATACTTGGACTCTATCAGACCCGAATGTATGGACTTGGATGTTTTTTGTTTAAAAACCTTCAGCTTTGAATGGTTGTTCTACAATTCTAATTGCATAGTCTGAAAGAGTAAATGTTAATCTACAAAATTTGTATTCGAATAATCACTCAATATTCGAGATGATAGAATGATTTCTTTGGTCGGATTCAGAAAAACCAGTACAGCTAACCTGACAAAAGAGAAAGAGCATGAATGGTGCAGATACATATGTAGAGAAAGAAAGAGACCAAAAATATAATGTATAGTATAACACAACTCTGTCTTATACAACATCTTTGGAATGTAGCATAACAAAAGGAAGCCATAGTGCCCCTTTTTATATAAAATTTACCTTTAATTTAAGTAAATTATTGCTGATTGAGTATATTTATTGCTCATTCAATATAGTTATTGTTGATTCAGTAAATTTATTGCTAAATTTCATTATTGTTCATTTCAATTTTTTTATTGCTGAATTAAATACAAATCATACATAGACATATTTACGATTATGTGCAACATTTTAGACCTCTAGGCTTTGCACAACCTCTCATTTTTAGATTTCTGTCAGTTCAGTTATACCTTGTTTTTTTAAATAGTTCAAGAGATTGATTTCGAACTATGATTTTCTGTGAACAGAAAATTGGTTCAACGTACATGGAAAGTCATTTCCTCTTAGTATATGTATAGTGGGATTTAAAAGTCTTAAATCGCATAGTTCACAATAGGCTTCATGACTTTCAATCGAGGAAATTCATGTTACTCGTTCAACTACTGTTAATACAATTAATGCTGTTCGAGCGATAATTGAAGATAATTCTCACTGGCCATGCAAATTAATAGAAGACACTTGAAGCATAATTTTGCCACCAATTGTTTCTATTCCAATCGTCTTCTCATTTACTGAAGACGTTTGAATTCACGAATTTCAATCTTGCATTCAACATTATCACTAGTGATCGACCATAGTTATATCAGTAGAATCAAAAATAAGAAATATAGTCGACTGTTATAAAACAACTCAAGGGGAGTCAGAGTTCATCGAAATAAAAGTTCAGACAAATGTATCACGCCATTTTTTTCACACAATGTAGCCTAACGAAAGCCATGCCATTGGGATCTAATAGACAGAAGCCAGCCTGTCAATAGTTGCCTAGCATAAGTTTTCAAGTTAACAGGTGGTGCAAAAGTTCCTGCACAAATATCGATCCATTTTTCCTTGACTAAAATATGCGTGGATGGAATCGAAAGTATTTGTACAGAATCTACGTCGAAAGCGCTTTCTAAATATGTGTTCAAAAAAGTTCTATCATGTCTTGTTTTTCAGTAGGGAGCAAATCTTTAAACAGCACTAAAATGTGGTCTTTAAAAACAGCTAAAAGTAGTAGGCACGAAAAAAACAAATCTTTCAGTACTTTTTTTATTCTGTCCAATGCCATCGATAGTATGGTGCTGCTCTTATTTTCGGTTCGATGCGCCATTCAATTCGCTACAAACTTAATAGAAAACCGTACGATATCACATTAGATGGTATGATTAAAAACAATGATGCAAGAAATAATGTCAAAAACTGGATGTGAAAATGATGATGAGTCGATTAAAGTTTTCGAACTTTTAATAGCGACATTGTTGATAAAACCAGTTGAAATTATGGTTACAAATGATCTGAGATACTCGCTCTATGAATATGTCTGAGTCAATGAGCAGAAATGACAAAATGGAACACCGAATAAAACAATAGGCACATCAATCAGAAAATGGCTAGAGATCCAAGAATGAGTTCTCTCAATGTTATTTCAAAGAGTTCCATAGTTTTTTCCACATGATTTGTCCAGGATAGAGACGGTAATCTGATATAGAAAAGATAGATATCATCTCATGAAATGAAGCGAAAGAAATCGCAAAATAATGTGGAATCAGTGCCTTCTTTGATATTCATTCTCTTTTATAGGCCACATTTTAGTGCTGTTTAAAGATTTACTTCCGACTGAAAGACAAGACATGATAGAATTTTTTTGGAACATATATTTAGAAAGAGCTTTCGACGTAGATTCTATACAAGTACTTTCGATTTGATACACGCATGTTTTAGTCAATGAAAAATGGATCGGCATTTGTGCAGGAACTTTTGCACATGTGGGTGTAGGTGTCGGTAAAGAGAAGAAAACACTCACCCATACTCACACTTCACACGCACACCTACATCCTTGAAACAAGGTGCGTACAACTGATATCACATGAGGATCTTGACTGGTTTTTTACGCAAGAGGGTATAGAAGGCAATCTTGATTAATCTTTACAAAGAGTGAAGACTAGTTTTGCAAGTTGGCTATTAGCAGACAGTTGCTAGACCTTACATGCAACATTTTAGTCAAAATTATTGTGCTGATCACTTTTCTGCATTCATCTCCAAGAATGGTTTATGGAAAGAACCGGCAGAATCTAGGCATTGGAACCACATAATAACAAAAGCAGCATTGATACACGAGATAAGACGCTTCATAAAAAATTGAATAAAAAAAAGTTTACATTCTGCACTTGATTTTACTGGATGGTCACGTTCGTCGAAAAAAAAACGGGAGAAACTATATTCCTTAGGTAAATTATACCATTTCGTGCAGAATTTCAAGTCCTATATTTTGATAAAAACACTGTTTCAATCAAATGAAAAATAAAAGAATAATATTAAAAATACAAACAGTCTAATTTTTTCTGCGCCATCCATCATATTATGCTAATGAGAATCGCTTTAAAACAATCCGAAAATGTCTAAAATTCCATATATTATTATCTTTCTGTAAAATAGAATAGAATTTTCTAATGAGTAAAAACAATCACTTCATTTCGATATTATCAAAAAAATAGTCTCAAGCTATATTCTCGTTCGTTATTTAAACCTTTGTAAAAAGATTAGAAATAATAATAAAGCCTATATCCCGCTGTTTTTATAAAGTACCCCGAAACATAATTCAACAGAAAATAATGCGTATTTTTTAACAAGAAAAACAAAAGAAAATATCATGAAATATCTGAAAAACAGCTGTCCTATGAGATGGGATGGGATAGAAACATCCGATTCCATTCGAAGCCCTAATAGGCATGATCAACAAGAACAGCAATGTATTGCCTTTTTTCTTTCTTTCGTTCTTATCTTTGTCCATTATTCGATTGATGCAAGGAACAAAAAATGACGAGCACAAAACTTCCAACTTTCATGTAATAAAGATAATAGTCAGTGCTTTTTTATTCGTCAATACTGCTTTTACCTGACAATTTCTACTTCACTATGGATTTTCGAGCATTGCTTGTACAAGTACAAGATCGTTTATCTGATGCTGATAGACGACGTTTACATTTCCTATTTGCTGGTGACATACCGAAATGGTACAATATTCATCCATCAATGAGTGGCACACTCGATTTGCTTCAATGGTTAAT